CTCCTTAACCACTTCTTCCAGAATTCTGAACACTTTCTTGGCAGTTCACAGGGGAGTTCTATAGTCACTGGCTAAAAGATAGTTTTCTCTTAGTCTAATATTTGGGGTTCGAATTAATTCTTTGAGGGGTCAGTCCCCATGTGGACTATGATGTTACTAATAATGAGTCTGTCTCTATGGTTGCTTGAGCACTCTGAAGCAGTGCTCATATCCTTGCCACAACTGTGATTCTTCTGTCTTGAAATTATATTCACCCACCGAAATCAAGTCAACCAGAGGACGGGAGGGGAGGGGGCTTGACTTAGAGAGCAACGATAAATATTTCTATTTAAAAAACAATTCTAAACAATCCTAAACAATTGGTTCTTTAATAACTCAACTGAGTCTTGGAGAAAAGATTCATTGAAAAAGGTCTCAACTTTGTACATGTGATTGATTGGTAAGGTTTTCAACAGAAAATGTAAATTCAGTTGCAAATTAGGAAAGAATATTTACTGTCATTTCTAATGGGTTTTTTTTTGTTTGGGGGGGGGGGGGGGTTTGCCAAAAAATTTAAATCTACCAGAAGGTCTTTTAGTGGTTTTCTCAATGTGTAACAGATCCTACTTGGTATATCATCTCTTCATGTTTAATTATAAGGATTTGAATTTGTAGCACCAATTAATCAGTAATTAGATAGTACTGTACCAAAAGAAATTAAACAAAGATAAAAATAAAAACACAACTCTGCACAAGGCCATATTATCTGGTAACGTTTCATGTAGCGTAGTCAAATATTCCCTGAGAAACGAGCTAACTAGGTCATTAGCAAGACACTCTTCTGACATTTTTGTTCTTGTTACCGACCCCCACTGCTAATGGGAAACATAAAGGTAATCCAAACACAGAAATACTTCGCTTATGCTGTTTATTCCTCTCTAAACTCTTCGTCTGCTTCATGACACTCAATAGTCATTTTGAACGGCAGCAGGAATGTCGGCAATGCAAAATAGATGCAGATTTTACAGTCCTTTCTCTATTGGCATTTATATTTTTTAAAAACACATAAATCGGCATTGAGTTGATTATCAGAGACCGCTAAAACAAAAGACTTACCTTAGACATGAAAAAAAAAAAGAAAGGGTCAAAGCAGATAGAGGAAGAAAAAGCAAAAATCCATGAAAAACAAAACACGTGAGGAAAGTGGTGCGAGAGCTAGCAAGCACCACAGGGGCCTGGGCAGGGGGCCCCTCTCCCTGCAGAGACCACGCCCTTCCCCTGTGCCAGGACCTCTGCCCTCCTCTTCCTCAGTTCTTTCCTGGCAGGGGGTAGGGTGGGGCACAGTGGAAGGGCATTTGGGGTCACACCTGCCTGTGCTCTGGGCTTACTCCTGGCTCTATGCTCAGAGATCACTCCAGGCATGACTCGGGGGACCATATATTTTTTTAAATTTTTATTAGTGAAACACCATGAGGTACAGTTGTAGACTAACAAATTTTTGTGCTTGAGTTTCAGTTATACAATGATCAAATATCCATCCCTCCACCAGTGCCCATTTCCCACCACCACGGATCCCAGTATCCCTCCCAACCCCCCATCCCTCCATCCCACCCTGCCTCTGTGGCAGGGCATTCCCTTTTGTTTTCTCTCTCCTTTTGGGTGTTGTGGTCTGCAAAAGAGGCATTGAGTGGCAATCGTGTTTGGTCCCATCCTGGGAGTATTCGGGGGACCATATTTGACGCCAGAGACTGTCTCTGGGTCAGCCACTTGCAAGGCAAGTGCGCTACCCACTGAACTATCTCCCAGGCTCTTCTCCGGGCTCTTAGCACTTTTGTTAAGAGCAAAAAGGAGGGATGGACAGTTGGAGAGAGGAGTGCGAAACTTCTCTAATTTGGGCTTGGCAGGGATGACAGAACAGCTGGCTCAGGTGTGCCCCCCACCTGTGTAGAGAGATGCTGACAGCCAGACTCGCGGACACATGACAGATTTAGCCTCGGGGTCTACTTAGCCATCTCCATAGGAAGTCTTTCTTTCCCCCAATTATTCCTTCCCCGGGTGGCCATGGCTGCATTGATCAGGGCCAAGGCAATCCTCAGAACTCCCTGTACGTTCTGCCCACAGTGATGCTACGAGTGCCTGCATTTCTATAAAAGAAAATGGGCAGCACCTTGTCTCCTGTGCGCACACACAGCATAGAGGGTGGACCCTGTCAGGTCCTTAAGTGGTCTGCCAGCTGATTCCCCCGCTTCGTGTGGAAAATTGTCTCAAAACTCTCTGAAGAGTTCACTTGTGTACTCTTGCTTTCCTAGAGTATTTTTCATTGCTAGGCTTGGAAACAAGTCGTTTGTCTTTTGAGCGAACGTTTTGTGGAGAAAACTCATAAGGTGCATTGGGAAGAAGTACGAAAGATTTCCAAGATTATTCCCATCTTTGGAGTGTCCTTGACTTTTTTTTTTCTTTTTGCATCACACCCAGCAATGTACAGGGGTTACTCCTGGCTCTGCACTCAGGAATTACTCCTGGCGGTGCTCAGAAGACCATATGGAATGCAAGGGATCGAACCCGGCTCTGCCACGTGCAAGGCAAACACCCTACCCACCTACCTGCTGTGCTATTGCTCCAGCCTCTGGAGTGTCTTTGAAAGAATAAATGTTGCATGATTAGCTTCATACTGAATATTAAGGAGTCCAATTGTAATAATCGTTGTAATTTAGGGTAAAATTAATTGAGAACCCCCACCCTATCCCAAGGAAATATTTGATATTTCTTCTCCCACTATGGTATGAAGTGAATCACTTGAAGTTTCTATCTCTAAGGGTCCATTGCTTTTATTTTTTTCCAGAAGAATATATTTATTTAACAAGATTTCATTTGGTTTCTTATTTTCAAAACAGTGACTGTCTAGATATAAGCAACCACAGAGACAGATTCATTATTAGTAACATCATAGTCCACATGGGGACTGAGAATATATAATTTATTAAAAACAAAATACACGCAAGATTAGACAGAAACTTGTATTAAAGATTTTCCCAGTTAGGGCCAGGAGTGACAGGTTGGAGAGTAAAGGTGATGGTCTACCTTTAACTTGTTTATTTTTTTTAATTTTTATTAGTGAAACACCATGAGGTACAGTTGTAGGCTTACAATTTTTTGTGCTTGGGTTTCAATTATACAATGATCAAATACCCATCCCTCCACCAGTGCCCATTTCCCACCACCACGGATCCCAGTGTCTCTCCCTCCCCCCATCCCTTTATCCCACCCTGCCTCTGTGACAGGGCATTCCCTTTTGATCTCTCTCTCCTTTCGGGTATTGTGGTTTGCAAAAGAGGCATTGAGTGGCAATCATGTTCGGTCTATAGTCTACTTTCAACATGCTTCTCCCATCCTTGGAGGATCCTCCCAACACCCTTTATTTGGTGCTCCCTTCTCTATCTGAGCTGCCTTTTCCCTTAGCATGTGTGGCTGGCCTCCAAGCCATGGAGCAAATCTCCTGGTACTTATCTCGGCTATTCTTGGGTGTTAGTCTCCTATTTTGTTACTTTATATTCCTCAGATGAATGCAGTCTTTCTATGTAACTTGATTTATTATAGTCAATAAATACAGTCATTTTAAAGTTTTACTTTAGTTTTGCCTTTCTTGACACATATATGTTCCTGTAGTTAAGATTTCTAATTTAGTCAGCATATTTGGGCAGAGAGAGTCCATTGCTTTTAAAAATAGCTCAGCACACCTGTGGGTGAAAGCCCCATTGCTCAGTGACGATTCATTTGTCAATATGGCTTATTAATTCTTGATAGTGCTGCTTCCACTGTCCCCTAATTTGAAAATGTTCATCTCTCAGATGGCAATCCAATGTATCTGGTGTTGGTATATGTCATAGCATTTTTGCCTCTCCATATTAATTTCCCTTATTGAAAAAAAAAGCTTTAGTGATCATTAGCTTCTGGGCCTTCAGTCAGTTAACTGGCCAAAATTAATGAAGCAGAGTGACCCCTGGTCTCAGTGATGTCCAGTCATTCTTTATTGGAACAATACAGCAATGCTGCAACCTCGCCTTCCTCTAATGGAGGCCAACAGAGCAGAGTCTTTGAACTAAAACATCCCTAATGCGTTTCTCCTCCACTCTCTGCCACCTGAGGAAATGACTCGAGTTGATGTTCAGGCCACATCCCTCTAACAAATGGGCTTTGCCACTGAGCCGCATTCATTTCATATGTATATATATATATATATATATATATGAAATATATTTTTTAATTCCGTGCCACACCTACTGGTACTCAGGGCTACTCCCAGATCTGTACTCAGGCTTCATTCGTGGCAGTGTTCAGGGGTTCATGTGGTACCAGGGATTGAACCTGAACCTTCCGCATGTGAAGCACACACTCCAGCTCACTGAGCTATCTTTCCAGACCCAGTGCCATTCGTTCTCAAATGTGAATGAAGTTGTGCCATTGGGATTGCTTGAGGCCTTCCAGCAACTTCTCATTTGACTCAGGTCAAGACTGTCCCATGGCCATGGCAGTGCATGAGCAGCTCTGCACTGCTCTCCCCTTCTCACCACAGGGTCATTCTCCAGATACCCTGCAGTTACTCCTGCAACCTGCCTGTACACAGCTGTTTCTCCTCTTCACAACTAAAGACCTCCTCATGCCCTGCAGAGCACTTGTCACTCTCAGAAATCATCCTGGTCTTTTCAGTGTGCTGTGTTTCTCCCCCACCAGCCTAGTCTGCTGTTCACTGTACATTATCTGTGCCTAGGGCAGAGCTAATTACTTTGCCCACGATAAACACTTGTTAGCCCAGTGTTCAATCAGTGAATTCTTCTCCTCCCAATGCATGTGACTTTGAATCACTTAACCTCTGCTGCCTCATTGCTGCAGTTCTATTAACAAAACTTTGGTTTTTGTGTAGCTAGGTCAAAGGAATAAATGCATCTCATAATAGCTGCTACCGAATGTGCCCCATCGTAGCTCAGAGAGCACTGTTAACAGTCTCCCTCCCTGTTTTACAGGAAATCTTCTGAGGAACTGGACATGGATAAGGTGACCGCAGCAATGGTACTGACCAGTCTGTCCACCAGTCCTTTAGTTCGAAGCCCTCCAGTACGCCCGAATGGTAAGCCTGGCGTGTTGGGGGGGGGGGGTGGCCCAGGGCAGAGCACTCTCTTCAGGGCATCACATTCCCATCAAATAAAATAGCAGTTAACCCTTCCCCAGGCTGGGGCAATAGCACAAAAGGTAGGGCATTTGCCTTGCATGCAGCCAACCCGGCCGAGCCGGGTTCGATTCCTCCATCCCTCTCAGAGAGCCCGGCAAGCTACCGAGAATATCTCACCTGCACAGCAAAGCCTGGCAAGCCACCTGTGATATATTCGATGTGCCAAACACAGTAACAACAAGTCTCACAATGGAGACATTACTGGGCCCGCTCGAGTAAATCAATGAATAACTGGAGGACAGTGCTACAGTGCTAACCCTTCCCCATGAGCAGTCAGCAAATGGAAATGTGGAATAGATGAAGGCCCCCATCTATCAGCATCCACGATGTTCTGATCTCACGAATACATACATACACTCAGCTCAACACACGTTGAGCTCTGCTATCTTCATCATAACATAGCATTGACTTATACAATTCAATATGATAAACCGGGAGAACAACAAGAGATGACTTTGAAGAAACCACCGGGAGTTTTGTCATGAGAGGACATTGATGTCTAGCTCAGGACTCAGACATTAATCTCAGATTACAGGAGGGTTTCCAAGGTGATGAGGCACTCAAAAATCATAATTGGATTTGCAGGCACAAATGAAGTAGAAGCAAAACAAAAGCATTTGGGTGCCCTGATCCTTGGTGGTCTAAGTAGAACTTAACTGAGAAACTTGAAAAAGTAGAATCAGGAGGTAGAATCTGGGTGGTGGCTCGATCTGATATAGAAGAGAAAGAATGTGGGGGCCGGGGGGAGCCTGAAACAATACTACAGCGGGCAGGGTGTTTGCCTTGCGCTTGGCCAACCTGGTTTCAATCCCTAGCATCTCTTATGGTCCCCTCGGCACTGCCAAGAGTAATTCCTGATTGCAGAGCTAGGACTAGCCCCTGAGCATCACCACGTGTGAACCAAAAAGCCAAAGGTAAAAAGAAAAGAAGAAGTAGGATTAACTTCCAGGCAGTTGACACATTCCAGCAAGAAGATCCATTTCATTAAGACTGGTAACAAGTGCAGAATAGATATTGTTGAATGTTTGAGGTAAGAGATAAGTTTGGTGAAGAAAGTGATAGGTTCAATTTGAAGCTCGTTTAATGAACAGTAATATCTATCCTATGTCTAGTAGATGAGAACTTTTTATTTGTTTTTGTTGTTTTGGGGTCATATCCAACAGTGCTCAGGGCTCATCCTGTCTCTGCACAGAGGACCCTAGTGGAGTGCTGGGGATTGAATCTGAGTGCAAGGCAAACTTTCTACACTCTGTACTATCACTCTGGCCCCTAAATAGGATCATATAAGGGGCAGTATCTGTTGGAAATTTGGAGTGATTCCCGGGAGAGAAATTTGGGCTGAGAGGAGAATTGGAAAGTACTGTTTTAAACTATGAGACAATGCAAGCTCCTTCTAAGAGAGAAATGTAGAAGTGGAGAGTGAATAGAATATGACTAAGGTGGGGTGGGGGGTGATGCTTCTCATATGTGCGGGAAAGAGTTATGAAAAGGACTCAATTCCAGTCACAGAGCTCACTGGTGGTTTTGGTGAGATCGTTCCCAGTGGGTTGACACCCGTGGTAGGAAGTCAGGTCCACTTCTCTGAAACAAAGTGAAAGGACACCACTAAGTTTCAAGTTGGTTGAAACTTAGCAGACTGGTAAAAATCTTCTCTCAAAAGTCAACCTAGGGGCCAGAGCAGTAGTACAGCGGGGAGGGCGTTTGCCTTGCATGCATCCGACCTGGGTTCAATCCCCAACATCCTATATGGTCCCCCTGAGCACCGCCAGGAGTAACTCCTGAGTGCAGAGTCAGGAGGAACTCCTGAGCATCGCCAGGTGTGATCCAAAAAAGAAAAAAAAAAATAGTCAACCTAATCTGTTTTGAGATTAAGCTGTGGGTAACAGAATTTGATTGTAGGCATAAGGTGTTACAGCTAAAGTGCTGAAATCTAAAATGCACTCAAAGCCAAGTGTAAGTAAGAAAAATCCTCAAGATGCTGATATCTGTCAGTTCCATGAATGAGCAGTGCCTTCCACCACGATTGCCCACAACCAAACTGATGCCAAGACTTTATTTCGAGCAGATATGATGCTCCACACTTGAGCCTGACCATTCCTATCGATTTGAAGGACTCTCGGTAAATAGATATCCTCATTCTCAGTTTGGAAATACAGTTAAAACCCAACTGAAACCTCTCCCAAAAGCTATTTTCGGTTAAAAGAATTGCAGAAATTTGTGAAATTTACTGAGCAAAGTATGCTTCAATATAATCATTATTTTACATTAAGATTCTTTTTCATTACTGAGAATATTTTTAATGTTCTTTGGACTAAAGGGATAGAATCAAACCTTTTGCTCTTTTGAGGCAAACTTTCGTTAACGTAGTCATCACGATTTTAAAAATCACCTAAGAATGCCCATTGTCCTGTATTTCAGACAGTGCATGACAAAAAGCAAAATTTTAAATGATTTTTGATAATGAATGCACTTTGTTCTGAGATATAAGGATTCTATCCTTAGTTTTTTGTGTGTTAAGGAGATTCAGGGAGGTTGTTATGATGGCTCACCGTTGCTGATAAGGATCTTTTTGTCAGGATGTGGGACTCCAACAGCGCCTGTCTGCATTTTTGGCAAATCCTTATTTAAGACAAGGAGATTATATTCTGTAAGAATATTATGAATTGGTTTGGAACTTTTTCTGAAAATTTTTACCTCTGTCACATTGTCCTTCTGATTAGTGATCAACAAGAAATGTCATTCAGAAATAAGAAAATTAACTTTTGGCCTTGGCACAAAGTAATGCACCCACACTATAATAATAGCTGGCTCTCGAAATAAATTCAGTTCCTCGGATTTAACATGATTACACACCTAGCACCGTGAATTTATTTTATTTTACAAGTGCATGCTGCAGGATATTTATAAGACTCCTGGGTCTGCCAAGTGAGTTTGTCACACCAGGTAACATTACCTAAGGCCTTTTCGTAGGCACCTCTTGAAGTTCTGCTCTATTTAATGAAGCTTTCTTATTTCTAATAGGCTACTTGGGGCTGGTGAGTACATCAGTCTCTTTGTAGACTGCAGGGAGTGAAATGCTAATTTGGTTTTGTTGATGCTAGCAAGGCGTGAGCTTGCATAAGTGACCATTTGATTCTGTTAGAGCCTCACTCTAATGAGATGGGTAAGTTAGTTCTGCTCTTTCAACTCAGAACTTCACTTCTCACTGAACTTTTCACTTGACACAGTTGAAAATGCTAGAAGTCTATAATTAGCTGAAGGTAGTCAAGAAAATTTTCCGTAATGCTGTTCTAATGTTTGTCTTCACTTCATTACTAATTATATGAATGATAGCAACATGTTTTTAATGAGGTATTTGGGGATTTTTTCCTCTCGTAGTTAAAATACGGTTTTAACATATTCAATATGCACATAAATATGGAGAAGAAATGATCCCCCCTCCAAAAAATAGAAATTGTGAAAATGCTAATTATGATGGGGCATCTTGAATAGTAAAGCAGATCTTGGGAGAGTTAAAAGAACCCCTTGAAGACATTCTCACCGGGCGCACTCTACATTAGCAAACGCTTCATCGTGTTTTTGCCCATAGATGGAAAGGTAAAATGCAGCACTACCTTATCACTAATTATTTCCAATGAACTCTTCTCTGATCTCATCTTTGTGGGAAACAAAAAAAGAGGTTCACAATAACTGGCCCGAAACTGAAGGCCAACTGGTAGACCAGACCAGGGTTTGTGCCCGGGGGCCCTGGAGTGTGGACTGATCAGGTAGCTGGTCACTAAACTTGCCCATACTTAAGGGTTCTTATCTATCAAGGGGGCATGGCAGTCCTTCGGAGAGGCAGTTGTTTTGCGGGTTCATAAGTTTGTCTGAGTGAGTTTTATGAGGATATAAAACACTCACCAAATGTTAAGCACTATTATTTGCTAAAATAATAAAATACTATTATTTGCAGTATGGAAAATGGCTTTAGGAACCTATCCAGAAATTATTATTTATTTTAAAGGCTTTTAAATCCTAGCCTAAAGTTGTCTATAAATGTGTGCCAAAAACCACAGTCCTGTGAGAAATGACTTTTTAAAAGTTAAAATGTGGACTGGAGAAATAGTTCGGAAGGTAAATAAGGTTCTAGCCTTGCGGTGGCTGATCCCAGTACCACATATGGTTTCTCCAAGCCCTGTCAGGAGTGATTCCCGAGCCCAGAGCCAGGAGTAAGCCCCAAAACAAACCAAACCTTTTTTATTTTTTTAAAAAGAAAAGTTGCAGGGCTGGAACTATTGCACAGTGGGTAGAGCATTTGCCTTGCATGTGGCCAACCCAGGTTCGGTTGCCAGCATCCCATATGGTCCCCCAAGCACCGGTGGAAGTAATTCCTGAGTGCATGAGCCAGGAGTAACCCCTGAGCATTGCTGGGTGTGACCCCAGAAGCAAGGAGAAGTAAGGAAGGGAGGGAGGGAGGGGTGAAGGTGGGCAGGAGGGAGGGAAGGAGAGAGGGGGAAAGAAAAGTTGAAATAAGGAAAGAGGGAGTCCAAGGTGAAAATGCTCGTGGGGGTAGGGTGGCCTATGACCAGCTTGGAAGAATGCTGGCAATTATTTCCCTCTTAGAAATAGTGCCGTCCCAGGAGAACTGCTTCATGGTTGGCAGCCTACCTCATGAGCTGAGGAAGAAGGGATAGAGAAGGGACCACTAAGTCAATGCTGATTGGAGGGCTGGCTCGGGATGGGAGATGTGCACTGAAAGTGGAGTAAGGACCAAACAGGATGGCCTCTCAGTATCTGTATTGCAAACCATAATGCCCCAAAGTAGAGAGAGAGTAAGAAGGAAGAAGGAAGGTGCCTGCCACAGAGGCAGAGAGTAGGGTAGGGTGGTGGTGGCGGGAGGGATACTGGGGACGTTGATGGTGGAGAACGTGCACTGGTGGAGGGATGGGTTTTCGATCATTGTATGATGGAAACTCAATCCCGAAAACTTTGTAACTATCTCATGGTGATTCAATAAAAAGAAAAGAAAAGAAAAGAAATACTGCCATTGGTGGAGAGCACCCCTTAATCAGAGCATCATTTCTAATCCCCAAGATCTTCCTAAGGAGCTTGAGTTGCAGAATGGGGGGCGGGGACCCCAAAACTGTTTGAAGGACCTGTCATCCTTTGGTTAAAATGCTCATATGTTGATAAACTATAATGCGACTCCTTTTTTATTATTTTTATTAGTGAGACACCATAAGGTACAGTTGTAGACTTACAAATTTTTGTGCTTGGGTTTCAGTTATACAATGATCCAGTACCCATCCCTCCACCAGTGCCCATTCTCCATCATTTACATTTTTTAAAAATTTTTGTTAGTGAAACACCATGAGGTACAGTTGTAGATTTACAAATTTTTGTGCTTGGGTTTCAATTGTACAATGATCGAATACCCATCCCTCCACCAGTGCCCATTCTCCATCATTTACATTTTTTTTTAATTTTTGTTAGTGAAACACCATGAGGTACAGTTGTAGATTTACAGATTTTTGTGCTTGGGTTTCAATTGTACGATGATCAAACACCCATCCCTCCACCAGTGCCCATTTCCCACCACCACGGATCCCAGTATCCCTCTCACTCCCCACATCCCCCCCATCCCACCCTGCATCTGTGGCAGAGCATTCCCTTTTGTTCTCTCTCTCTTATTGGGTGTTATGGTTTGCAAGGCTGGAGCGATAGCACAGCGGGTAGGGCGTTCGCCTTACAAGCGGCCAACATGGCCGACCCGAGTTCGATTCCTCCGCCCCTCTCGGAGAGCCCGGAAAGCTACCGAGAGTATTCGATATGCCAGACACAGTAACAACAAAGTCTCCAATGGAGACGTTACTAGGCCCGCTCGAGCAAATCGACGATCAACGGGAGGGTCTTTACCTTTACCTTTACCTTTATGGTTTGCAAAAGAGGTAATGGGTGGCAATCAGGTTTGGTCTATGGTCTACTTTCAGCATGCTTCTCCCATCCTGGGAGGATCTTCCCAACACCCTTTATAGACGGACCGGTCTTCAGTCGAGGGTATACGAGTAGCTGCGCTCCCCTGCTAGAACCTCCAAACAAGCTCTTTTTTTTTTTGAGGTATAAATAGTTTTAAAAATTGCACAGGTGGGCCAGAGAGACAGCACAATAGAGAGGGTGTTTATCCTGCACACGGCCCGCTGGGGGATCCCACACGGTCCTCCGAGCACCACCAGGAGTGATTCCTGAGTGCAGAGCCAGGAGTCACCCCTGAGCATCACCGAGTGTGACCCAAAAAAGAAAAAAAAATTGCACAGGCAGCTGGGGCACGTTAGTGGCCGGGCCACGGGTGCAAGTGGGGGGTTGGGTTGGGGTCGGGGGCTCCCCGCTACCCCTCGCTGACACCGTGTTTGTGTGACTGCACAGAGGGCCTGAGCGGGTCGTGGAAGGAGGGCGGCGGCGTCCCGTCTAGCACCAGCAGCAGCGGCTACTGGAGCTGGAGCGCGCCCAGTGACCAGTCCAACCCGTCCACGCCGTCGCCACCGCTGTCGGCCGACAGCTTCAAGCCGTTCCGCAGCCCCGCACCGCCCGACGACGGCATCGACGACGCCGACGCCAGCAACCTGCTCTTCGATGAGCCCATCCCCAGGAAGAGAAAGGTGGGTGCGCCTCTTCTTTCAGCCTGGGTGGGGACCAGTGCCTCCCGCCTCCTGCCCAGGGGAGAGTGAGGGCAGGGGACCAGAAAGTGTTGAGATCTTGTTTTCATCAAACCAGGTTGCAATAGACATGAAGATTGACATGAGTATGTCAGATGTTTTTATAAATATGTCATGGGCATAAATATATGCCAATTTTCTCTTTTTATAATTATTTCTATAAAGTAGTTCACAATATTTGATCACATTTAATATTCAAACACCGATCCCACCACCATGACACCTTCCCACCACCGTATTTCGGGTGTTTCCATCCTGAACCCCAATCCCTGCCCCAAAGCAGGCCCTCCCGTTGATCATCGATTTGCTCGAGCGGGCCCAGTAACGTCTCCATTGGAGACTTTGTTGTTACTGTGTCTGGCATATCGAATACTCTCGGTAGCTTGCCGGGCTCTCCGAGAGGGGCGGAGGAATCGAACTCGGGTCGGCCATGTTGGCCGCTTGTAAGGCGAACGCCCTACCCGCTGTGCTATTGCTCCAGCCCCAAAGCAGAATGGAAATAATATATTTTGTATTGTTTGTTATGAAAAACCGCTGAAGATACTACAAAAAATGTTTCCTTACAGGAAAGAGTGTGAAGATTTTTGTATTCCACCCATTAAGCCCTTCCATAAGAGATCACTAACATGTTGTTAGAAGTTGAGCCTTGTGTGCATATATATATATATATATATATATATATATATATATGTGTGTGTGTGTGTGTGTGTGCATATATATATATATATTTGTAAAAAAAATATTTCCCTCTAAGATTAGTTGCCTCCTACTTAGAACCCCATCAAATGTGGTGCACTACTCTTGGAGTATGGGTAGGGTGTGTGCTATGAAGTGTCCAGGAATAGATTCACTCGTGGGTGAGGCTCAGCCTGAGCATGTGGAGAGTGGCCGTGAGTGTGGTGGCGGTTAAGTTCTGGAGGTTTTCGGCTGCCGGGATTGGGTCTCTTCGGGCAGGGAGGGCTCTCACCAGCCCCCGCTTTGGGGCACCCCAAGTGAAACAGCCTGTATGCCAATTTTCGTGTACCTTTACTTACCCAAAATTGTTTTTCTACTATTCAAAGTGGAAAGGAATTTTCATTTATTAAAAAATGTATAAAATTAGCTGTATCGTTATTACACTTTTCTTCCTTCTCACTGCAGATCTGCATGTACTGCTTTCCCACTATTTTCCTAATAAAATGAGGAAATGGAGGCTCACACATTGAACTGTCTCTGAGAACTCTGGGAACTGTCTCTGTGCTTCTGTCCTAGGGGTTAGAAAACCCCAGATCTGTCATCCAAACCCAGATCTCCCTGAACCCCCTGGTGCATATTCTTTTTTTTATGTACTATAAAATTTTATTATAATATGAAATTCTTTATCCTTTTGGAAGTACTCTTGAAGTACAGGATGAAATGTTTATTGCCAACCGTGAAATGATAGCAGTGTATCAGGTAGAGGGATGAATTTCATTTTTAATTTAGTCACCTTGAAAGTACAAAGCGATTTGTGATTGATCCGGTGTTTCAACACCATTCCCTTCGCCAGTGTCCACTACCCTCCACCAACACCCTTTTATATCCCCGTTGCCTCCGACCCAACGGTCTGCTTCTAGGAGAGGTGGCTTTTTCTTACTGTTTTTAAAATACGTTTTTGCCCTGCGGTAGGTGTTCATACGTAACACTTTATCACCACCTCTTTTTTTTAGCACTACTTCTTCCTCTTAGTTGAATACTTCAGAGAGATGCATTTTTTAATTTATTTTTTTATTAGTGAAACACCATGAGGTACAGTTATAGACTTACAAATTTTTGTGCTTGCGTTTCAGTCACACAATGATCAAGTACCCATCCCTCCACCAGTGGTGCATATTCTTTCCATTCTTTTCATGTATCTTTAAATCACGTTCAGTGACTTTTTTCCAGAAGCATCCCTAATTCATAGACTAACGCAATACTACCGTAGGTCGATCGGGAGAGATTGTGGCATTATTTTTGTCAATCACCATCCGATAGGAAACACAGGTGGGCGGTCTTTTCCTTCCACGTTCATACTTGCATTGTCAGTGACTATTCCGAAGCAAAATTATGAGAAGTACAATACAACCTCTTCTTTCCAACGAGGAAGAGCGAGAGCTGGCATGGATCCAACCCCATCTCTGCGCGCGTTCCTCCCTCACCTTTCATCCATTCACCCAGGCAGCAGTGGAGATGGCTTAGCGCTGTCTCTAGCCAGAGTGCAGGTCATTTGTGTCGTCTCCCATCCGTCCCAGAGGCAGTGACCCGAAGCATGACTGCCTCACACATCACTCCATGAGGGGAGGTGGTTACCCTGGAGACGCCTCCATACCCTCCATCCCTCCTCCATAGCCTGCGGTCCCCAGCACTGGGAGAGAGGTTGGCGCGACCCTGCCGCAGGACAGCTCCATGCATGGGAAGCCTTACTCCCTTTCTCCAGCACGCAGCTGAGATGAGCTTGGCTCTCGTGGAGCCCAGCATTGTTTGGCCAGGGCTCCCGTGCCAGAGAAGCACCCTGTGCCTTCACAGGAAACTGCCCTGAAAACACATCACAGACGCAGTGTCTGGCACGGAACTGTGAGTCCACAAGGCACACTCCGGCATCACCCAGTTTGATTTTGTTGTTCGTAATTATATGTAAGGTTTATAGGCTTCAGCTAACTCAGGGAACAATCAAGCCACCACAGTGGGGAAAATTTTTTTTCTTTACAGAGTGCCATTTATTTGAGATGGACACAGACCCATTCTGCAGGGCGCTGGGTAGGAGTGAATGAATGAATGGATGGATGGATTGACGAATGAATAAGAATGCTGCTTATCCTGCCTTCTCTGTGCCTTCATCTGTGTAGCAGGGAAACAGCTTTTCAAACACCTTTCTTAGGAAAATTATGAACATTAAATATGACTAAATAGAGAAGGGCTTCTAAATCCCCAAATTCCATGTACTGTAATGTAGCAGTAATGGAATGTGCAATCAGTAACCCTGAAAAACAAAACCAAAAAAAGGAGGCAGCACCCCCTACCAGAATACAGAGCAATGAACTGCATCACACTTCCCGTTGTGAAAGTTGTCTTATCTCTTCCCCCGCACACCAGACACCTCATTTTTATCCTTTAGGATGATTCATTGTCCACATGCATAAAGAGGAAGAGTACGACATGCATTTCTTAGATGAGGGTTTATGCCTTATTTTCAGGGATATTGAAGAGAGGCCAGAGAGATAAAACAGTGGGTAGTGCACTTGTCTTGCTCTTTTTTTTTTAATTTTTATTAGTGACAAACCAAGAGGTACAGTTGTAGACTTACAAATTTTTGAGCTTGGGTTTCAGTTATACACTGATCAAGTACCCATCCCTCCACCAGTGCCCATTTCCCACCACCACGGGTCCCAGTATCCCTCCTCCCCCAATCCCCCCATGCCACCTTGCCTCTGTGGCAGGGCACTCACTTTTGTTCTCTCTCTCCTTTTGGGTGCTGTGGTTTGCAAAAGAGGCAGTGAGTGGCAATCATGTTCAGTCTATAGTCTACTTTCAGCATGCTTCTCCCATCCTGGGAGACTTTTCTTGCTCTTCCCTTGTTTACCTAGGTTTGATCCTTGGCATCACAATCCCTGCCAGAAGTGATTCCTGAGCACAGAGCCAAGAGTAAGCCCTGAGCATTGCTGGGTATGGCAAAAAAAAAAATCAATAAATAAAACACAATAATAGGGAAGAAATATTTGCTGAGAATACAGTTCCGTATTTAATTGCTGTTTACCAAATGCTTATAAAGGCAACATTTCACTTATTCTTCACCAAAAAAAAAGCCCACGTTTTTCATTCCCATTTTGCAGAAGACAAACACTGAGGTTATGCAATTTTCACAAGGTCACGTACCTTATAATTTAGCAGAGATAAAAATCAGCTCTGCAAAGGAAATTCTTGGGCAAATTAATTTAGAGAATCCACATTTCCCTCCACCCACAGAGAAGAACAACATGGAGAGAGAATAACCAGAGAGAGCTGGAGCCAGCATTCCAGGTCAGGGAGGCAGAGGATTGGGCAGGAACAGAGAGCTTCCGGCTCAGGAAACTGCAGGCGGTAGCGTGCAGTCTGCAAGAAGAGAAATGAAAGTTTTTTCCCCAGGGTCTAGAAATCAGCTGGCCAGCTGCAACGAGCCCACTTCTAGCAGAATTTTTCCTCTGGGGTTTCAAACAAACCGACAGCTTCTGTGATCAGAGAAAACCGTAGCAGTGTGAGCCAGGAAATCTAGGACCGAGAGGGAGATGCAGTTCCTGGCTTGACCACAAGGTGAGGCAGTGACCTTAAATACTGGGCTCGAGGGAAAAGTCTTTGGAAAGGCAGGAGTTAACCATCATTGCCAGAAGTCAAGAAAATCCAGATCTACTGATAATTAATCAGTAATGTGCTGTTTTCCACATGAGACTCCTGATTCAGATTCAGGATATGTCTCTTCTAGCAGGATTAAACTTTCCGGACTCTACACCGGGCACCCCAACGGAAATACCTCTGTGACCCTAAGCCCTCTCTGAGCTCAGTTACGTCATTCCTGAAGCTGGGTGATGGTGAAACTCATGGAAGGGGTGTTGTGCAGCTTACGTGAGCAATTACTGGTAATTGCTGGTATTGTACTTTCTTTACCTGGTTGTCTAGCCTGACTGAATGAAAACTTTGAGAAGTTGGGTGAGAAGAGGAAGGCTTGCCTCTGACCCTGCTCTGACCCCATCAACACTCTTACAGTTCAGCACAACCTTGGACCCCTCAGCTCCCTTGCATTCATTTCGGGTTGATGATAGAAGCCAATTTATGACGAAGGAAGGGGTGAGCACCCACAATAATGACAGCAGAAACCGGGAAGGTGAAACCTGACTCTGGACTTGAACATCAGAGCGATCACTGCATTTGAGCCTTCACCATTTGCAGTTCTCATGCAAGCGCCTTGATCT